ATTCTGCCAGTAGCCATGAAGCCTTTTGCAAATCTGGTGGTAAAGTTATTTTTTTTCTGCACTTACATAGAAATATTTTTATTTTTCTCTTGATAGATTAACTAAAATTTATTTTTGCCAAGTGTTATTTGTATTCATTATTTTGGGATGGAAAAATTCTTGCCCCAGGTCCTTGAGCATATAAAAGGGACTAGCTCTCATTATCCATGGCAGTCATGAAGAGAAAAACAGATTAAATTTCATTTATGGTACATCTGAACACCAAATTCTGCATTGTTTAAATTGGAAAGGGTTGAATTTCTGAACACTTGACAATACCAGAAGTTTTCACTACAGATGTAAAAATTTGCAGACTTTCACATTCTTATTAGCTATCCTGTCTATATCATCTTATTTATTCAAAATAAATGATAAAGTATTTCATTACTGTTGGTCCATTCCTTGATTATCTTTAATATCAATGCCTTATTTACTTCACATTTTTTCCTGCTTTATATACTTTCTTAAATTTTAAAAAATCTTTTTTCACCTTAATTTTTGGCAATACTTCTGTTATTCTTCTCCTTTTCATTATTTGGATTTTATTATGTATGCTTTTTACTTATTCTGGATATCTTTTAGTGGATACATCTCTAGATCCTCAGATGTAATGTACTGCCTTAGAAATGTACCATTTCTTGCAGTATAAATTCAGGTACATTCCAAACTTCAGAGACATTCCAAAACACTTTCATTTCTAGTCTCAACTGTTAATTCCACCTTATTAAATAATTTCCTGCTATTTAATGATGACTCTTTCCACTGTTATTTGTTATGATCAGCTTTTCTATAGTGTCTTAATTATTCATCAAAACAAGACTATAGTACCATTATTTCTTCTCTGTTAGTCAGTACTGGATAAAGAATCTGCTAATAATCACAGCTGGAACACAAGGTCATTAGTTGTATTTACTATCCAAACTACTCCTAGCAGCTAAATTCTCTCATAAATAACAGTGTCTTGCAATATTTATCTAAAATTAGAAAGGTCTTTCTCAGCATCCAAATTGATCAGGGCTATGAGCAACTGACCTCTAGTTCGACTCCCAGTTGCTTTAATTGCCCTTTTCCAAAATGACATGGAACCCAAGGATATTCTGTTTTATCCAAACACTGGTTTTGTATTTCCTGATATGTTATCACATCATCAGCATGTTATGACATCCAACAATTTTTACTTTTATTTTGTCTTTCCTATGTAGCTCATACTTTATCTAGTCACGTTTGCTGAAACAAGCCTACCTGGCCATCGCTCTTATCAGTACAGCCTTTTCCATCTTCTTGCAATCATACCTTTATGCTCTCCTATTTCCTCCTCCATTGCTCTCCACCAGTTTTCCCCTTCCAGTGAATTAAAACCACACATAGTGATCAAATCATTGCATATGATTTCCCTGATACTGAAAATTTATATTAGTAGTCTTGGCATTCTTAGCCCCTCAGTACTTAAGTGGAATGTAGTCATCAAGAAAAAAACTCCAAAGAATATATAAATGTCAAAACAAACAGTGCTTAACACTGCTTTTGTTCATTGTTTTATTTTCAATACCTTGTGCCTTTGCAATTTTTATTCTCTATGATCAAAATAATCTGTGCCTGCACTGAAGTTCAGTACTTTGTTTCAGTATGTTCTAGCATGAATCTGATACCATTATTTTCCTGGCAGAAAGTACAGTCAGAAGATCTCTCCCTGCCCTGTTCATGCTCCTTTTCAGCCTCAGGCCTGCACATTGCAACCTTTCTTCTGGCAGGCAGCCTAACTTGCTGTGCTCTTCATGTGCTCTGGTGTCTCTTTCTCTTATTAAAGAGTTCCTTTATGAAAGGTTCAGGCTTGTCTTTCCCTGGTGCTGGAACATGTCTATCTTATTGAAGATAATTGTGCATCTTTTTTTTCTACCCTGCATCTTCTGTGTATCATCCTCATTCCTTCTTCAGAACTGGTCCCTGGCTCTCATCATCTCTTTTACTTCACTGAAACATCTGACCTCTCTTTTTCTTCTTCTCTCCCTGATTGTTTGCTTTCTTCCTTTCCTAAGGTCTCCAGGAAAGACTCCTCCCTCAAACTTTTCTACTGCGTTAACCATCTTTTCCAGAGGGTCACATTTGCCTTTTTTCCTCCTGGGTTATCCAGCTAGTTTTGTACAACATTTTTATCTCCTTCTCCATTCTATTCTCTATTCCTCCATTACATTCATCTGCATCTTTAGCTCCTGGATAGTCTCTCACATGAGCTGTATCCTGGTGATGTTTCCTATGAAGTCAAAAGGCCAATGAAGGAGAAGAAATGTCTTAAAACATCTGTAACCAGCCAGGCTTTTTTCCCCCCTTCAACTTTGGGTAATCATCGTAATTGATCCCTCAGTAACCATTGGTACCATATTATCCTCTAAATACCTGACAGAGATAAAAGGATTAGCCCCTCTATTTACTTATGAAAAAGCGCTCAGTGTTTTGCTTGTGTTTTCTGGGATTCTTTACTCACTGGAAGGTCACTTTTTTAAGCCTTTTGACTCAGTTAGAGACACTTTATGTAATCAAAGGGCAGTCAGTTTGTTCACAGAGGGGAACATCTTACTCAGTACCACCTGCCAAGCTGCCTGCTTAGGCACAACTCAGAGCCACCACAAATGAGCTCTGAGTGTAGATCAGAGAGCACACAGTATGCACAGTCATACAGAAGGGAGAGATGCATTCATTCTTAATAAATGAGAAATTTCTTCTTTGTCCAGAACCTGTCCTATGCAAACTCTTGTTTTTTTTCTGTGTGCTTAGCAGAGGCAACAGGTTTTAGACTTCCTCAGACAAATTTGTTATGTCAGTAAACAATTGTAGATCCATCTGTAGATGTGGGGAACCTTTTAATATGTAACATAAAGTTTCCTTAACTTTTAATAATTTTATCCTAGGCCTTTATTCTAGAAGTTTGCAGAGCAGCGAATTGAGTGTGTGATGAAAAGCAAGGGTTTGCTGGCTCAGCCCTAGGACCATAATATATTGTACTGTCAATCTTTATTTAATATCTCCTCTTCAACAGAAATCCTTGAGAAAATGTGCCTTCAGTTGTTTAGCTCCTTAAGTGTGAAAGCCCATGCCTCTTTCAAAACCAGTTCCCCCTTTTTTCATAGCAATCTGAAATGTCTATTGTTCTCAGTCTCCATATTGCCCAGAATTTAGCTGTAATAAACTGTTTCATTATTCCTTTAAGTTTTCAGTATATCACCTAGGGTTATTCTGGAGAAAAGCTTTTTATAAATTTATTTTGCACTGTATTGTCATAGCATCCCATATTTTTTCCTCAAATATAAGTCTTATAAAATATTTAGCCCTATGGAATTCCTCTTACCAAAGGAAAGTATAATGTTCAGAACACATACAGAGACTGAATTAGCAAAGCTGTGATGGGTAGGTACTTTCAAGTAACTGAATTATGATCAGAAAAGTTGGTTTCTAGAGATAGTCTCTGGGAGCATAGAAAGAAAGTTAATTTTAATAATTCTATTAAGATAATTTGTAAAGTTCATATTTTAAAAGAAATGTATGAAAAATTTATTTATATATTACTGATTATTCCATTTCCAGTCTTGTCCAAATAACAAGCAAAGGACTACTTACTACAATTCAGCATTCAGCTTTTGTTAAAAAGATTTTACTATTTAAAAAAAAAAAAAAATTAAGATTTTGCCTCCCTTCCCTTGCAAAACTCTATTTTTATTGAACTTTCTGAGTAGACTATGAAATTGTTAAATAATAAAAACATCACCACCGGTCTCACAGTATCATTTTCCATTGAGGAACAGGGAATTCAACTGTAAAAATGTCCAAGTTGTACTGGGCAATTTTTACATTTTAAACTGTAACTGTTTTTATAATAATTTGAATACTTGGTAATGCTGATTCAAACAGTGGAACACAAACAAATTACTGGAACTGCTTTTAGTAAAAACAGCATGTCCAACCTCTATAATTATTGTGAGAGAATAGTAGTAGATAATCTCTGCATATCATGGCTCCAAAATTACACATTTATTGTGGGCTAATATGGAATAACATTTAATGTTTTCCAGCTTCACATGAAATACCATTATCTTCACACTACATTTTTGTAGACGTAGGATGAAATTTCTCCCATCTGTACTAGGACTCTATTTTATTCTCTTAAGAGGAGACAGCAGGATAACTCAAAGATAGTATAGTAAAGAAGAACTGAAGTATATGACTTCCAGTAATTGAGCTGCTCAAAATAGTCCTGTGGATAACATTTATTTACCTTTTGTGTGTACGGAAATTTCCGTACACTGGCTCCTGTCAGTACAGAACAACTTCTTTTACTAGTACAAATCAGTCTTTTTTTTTTTTTTTTTTTCTTTCCCCTCCCACAAAATACTGTTAGGGGTTATATCAAGTTGTCATAGAAATTTTCAAGAAATATTTTTCATTTGTTCTTCTGAACTATTCCTATAACTACATTGAATATTTGGACATTAACATAAATTCAGAACATTTATACTAATGAACTGAAAAAGAGAGAAACTAATAGAAAAAATTAATAAAAATAAGAACAAAATTGCATTCTGTGCACTTTTAGTATCCATTAACATCATAAGTAAATTTATTTACACTTTGAGCTGTTGTCTGATTAGCCCATCAAAAAAAGTATCATGAACCTCAGAAACACTAGAAAATACTAGCCTTTCTTTGCTCATTGTTAGAGCAGCCCAGCTTAAAGTTATGACTACAGATTTCATATTAGGGATGAACCTTCATTAAAAGAGATTTTTTTCCTGGGTAACCTTGGCAAGTTAGTTCATCTCCTTCTCTGCAAAACATGTTTAATGTTACTTAGCACTTCTGCAAAGAATTTTGAAATTTAAGATTGAAAAAGCATGGTATAATAGGACACATTATATAAAAATAGCTTAATATAGTTCATAACATACAAGTTAACTTCATGTTGAACTGACCTCCTTCAGCTGAGCAGATGACCACAATAGGGCTGAAGGGACCATCTCCTTTGTTGTTGTAAACACCAACTTTCACCTCAAAAGGAGTCAGAGGTGGCACACTTTCATCTCTGTAGATGAACTTTGAGGCATCTGAAGATGTCACCATTTTTTCCTTCCAGCCACGTGTTCCATTGGGTCTGAAGGCTACAATATATCCAAATCCTTCTCCATTCTGAAACTCTTCTGACACTGGCTAAAAAATAAAGTTCAGGTAATGATCAGATGTGGTTTTACTAATTTAGAAAGTAGCCACTCAGTGGCTGACCATAATCTGGCTGCTTGTGTGAGGGTGATTGCTTACAGTTGCATTATAGGATTTTACTTATCATGCCTGGGAACACATAGGGAGAATTTCTTCTGAAGAGAAACCTTGTAAGAGAGTTTCTTCACCTAATCACCATAGTTAGGTCACTGTAGTAGGATTGAATAAGCTTTTGGGCTCAGAAAGATTTTTTCTTCAATATCTCCCACTTTGTAGTTAATGCTTTAACCATTGGTCTATCAGTGGAATAGCCCTTTCCAGTGACCTTGTTAAAAATATAGAGCACCATGTTGTTAAGGGCTCCTAAAATATGATGTGAGTGACACTACAGTGGGACTCTCTTGGGTTTTAGGTGCCAGCCTGTCTAATTTCTGTATCCAAATGGGGTGTCAAGTCTTAGGGTTCAAGTCTAGGGTTCAATTTGAGACTTAGGATATAATGTTCTAACTCTCGAACTGAGTCTCAGTGAAAAAAAAAAGTCTCATTTGCTTTTCTCAGAGGATCTGTGAAATTAGCCACTTAAATTGGGACACATCTGTCATAAGCAGGCAGTCAGCAAAGGGATTTATCTGTTGAGAGGCTGAGCACTGCAAAACCTCAAGGAATGGAATTTTTCATGCTAATTTACTGCCTACATTTCTTATAAAGTCAATGGACTAGTTTAGGAATTAGGTTATGTTTAACAGCTGTCAGCATATTAGACCTATGGAAAATGCCGAAAAAGGGTGTCTAAACCCCCTCTCTTGAAATGCCCATGCTAGTTCTGCAGCTAATGAACACGTCAATCAGAGCGGGGCACAGGGCACACTGAATCCTTTCCCCTCCACATTGCAAGCGAATGTCTGATTACCAGGCACCTCACTTGCAGACACCATTTTCTACCCATCGTTCTGAAGCTGTGCACTGTGCATCAAAGAAAAAAATAATCATGACTTCAAAGGCAGGGGAGGCAAAAACAAGACAGACTTTATAATCTAGTGATTTGAGTTGGAAAGGAGGAGCCTTGCATCTCTTTGCAATACTTATGGAGTTGGCAGTAGACAGTCGCTATAAAAAAAGCCAGAAATACAAGAGAAGTAGCAGAACCCTTGGATTTCACTAGAAATGCTAAATACACAGTCTGTGAATTAAAGTTGTGTGAATAAAATTTTGTTTGAACCTGCTAAGTATAATTCAGGAGCCTAGGTAGGTTAGTCTTTTCCTGAATTCCCAGAGACCCATATACCATCTCAGTATCTCTTCAGACTTCAAAGCACTTTGTTGACTTCCTATTGCCTGTGTAAGTCCAATAAGACCTTTTTGGATCCTGCAAAAATACAGACTGCCTGTGCTGGAGCTATGCTAACTTACACTGTCGTTGTGCCTTATGGAAATGCAGTGGCTACACCAAACAGCACAGTAGTCTGTAGTGAGTTGTTGGAGTGTTATCCGATGTGCTAGGATTAGTTCTATAGCAGAAATTTCAACACTTACTTTTAATTGCATGTTTTTGTGTGTTTTGTTCTTTCTACCATTTCTTGAAGAGAGTGACTATAATTAGAAATGGTAGCAATCTTTCAAACAATAAAAAAATGTAAACATGCCCACTTCACAATTTATATTCAACACAGATGAAATGCCATGTTGTTTTTGTAATCTTAATTTGATTAACGACTTTATGCAGTTTAAGAGGTATGTGAAACAATAGTGTGCTGAAAGTATTAACATCAGGAAGAGCAGCACTAGGTGTTGATGGAAACAATGAGTTAATCAGAAACAGGGGGGAAGGATCGACACCTTCTGCCTTATTGGCAGTTTGTACTCCTTAGCTATAAGTGAAGAAGCATCAGCTGGCTTTTGTGGAAAAAAAAGTCAATATATACTGAAAGTTATGTTATGGCAATTGCTAATTCTTAACTGTCTGTTGTATCTGTACTGCAGGATGGGACACCCATGGGTCTCTGGTTTCTTTTGGAAGAAAACTTTGACCTTTGACAGAGAGGGAGATATAACATACTCCAGTAGTGCCCCAGTCCCACTCCAGTCACCTGGAGAACACTACAAACACACTTAATATGAATGCTACATACTAATATATCATATTAGGGATTGGCATTAGGCCAGTTTACATCAGATAGAGTTCTAGCCACCTGAAGTTTTTGTTTGGGATTCAGGAAATTTTCTCCCAATAGGAGAGACGCTGCTGTTTATAGTTTTAAACTACAAAGCAGACTGAAATCAGCCCTGTCTCAGCTGCCTCAGGTAGCTGGTGTCGAAGAAGGCAGTCATGCCAACAGAAGACAGCTTCTTCAGATGTCCTAAAATTTGCCATTTTAAGCAGTTAGTCAGAATTCTGTGTGTCTCTTACTATCTGAATCTGTCCTTAAGTTGGCCAGGCTAAAACTTTTTTCATTAAAACGCCATGTCTTCATTTGATGGGATTTTTCTTGTTTTTTTTTATATATATATATGTACGTACATTTTCTGAATCTGAAACTCTTCATGATAAATCTAGAAGTTTTGAAAACTCCTCAAGAAATGTCTCTGTTCTACTGTGTTATTTATGATTAGCAGAGAAGGCAACTCCCACTCCTCCCATTGCCCACTGGCATGGTCATACGTCTGTGTTGCATCTTGCATCACAAATATCTTCTCAAAATATATTTCAGGTCTTTAGTTTTATATTTTCATGAAATACTTTAAAAAATAATTCTTTCTTAATTTAAGATTAAAAAAAGTTACAAGGCTTTCCTTCTCTTCCCGTATCTACTATTTCATCTGGTGTAGCATTTACATAAGATCCAGAAAAGTCAAATCAACCCAAGCAGTAGATCAGGATAGATCGGGAAGAAAAGACTGATGAATTAGCGCAACTTTGTAGCTGCTGCTAGGTGGGTTAGGTTCACCATAATGCCCTCTACTCAAACCACATGAAAATGCACATTACTTTGAAACATTAGAACAGATTTAAAGAACAGTATTTTGTGTTCATATTTTGCCAAGATTTGCTGTAAGGAAACCCCAGTACAGTACTCTCTACTTTGCCCTCAAAGAAGTAAACATGAAACAAAACCTTTAATCAGAAAAGTCCCTTACCTCCCATGCTATTACTAATTCATGTCGCCTTCCACTTCTGCCACTTACATTAGCTGGAGGTGTCTTTGGAACTGTGAGCAAAAAGGAAAAAAACAAAACAAACCAAAACAGAATGTCCAAGTTATTGAAGTTTTCCCCATAGTAATAAGTTGCTGCAGAAGACATGAGGCTGTTAAATCAGAACAGAAATAACAAACATAGCACTCTGTGGTAAACAAAATTTGTTCAAGTTTCATTTCAGAGAATTTTACAGTCAAGCTGGTAAACTCGAACAAAGCATAAGCTGAGAAGAAAAATAATATTGGACGAAAAAGCTGCTTAAGCACTATGTCTTCTGCAGATTAGTCAAAATTTCAATGTACAGCTCATCTAAGAGATAAAAAAGGAATTATCTTGTTAACATTTGTATTTTTCAAACAGACAACTCAAAATCAAATGCCAGGGAACCTAACATATTTCAGACTTCAGGTAAAATCTTAGAGCATAAATAATATGTCTCTACTATTTCCCAGGTCATTAGTGATTTAGAATGTTTCAGTTCTTGTAAATCTATTCTTGCATGCTTTACCAGGGAGTAAATTTTTAGAAATTTTAAAGTAACCATCCTTAAACACCCCTTATAATTTCTTGCAAAATGCTAGAAGCAGTACTACCCACAGTTCTGTAACAACTGAGGCCACCATTATCATAGAATCATAGAATCATAGAATCAGTAAGGTTGGAAGACACCTCCAAGATCATCGAGTCCAACCATCAACCCAACACCACCATGCCTACTAAACCATGTCCCTAAGCGCCTCATCTACACGTCTTTTAAATACCTCCAGGGATGGGGACTCAACCACTTCCCTGGCAAACCCATTCTATGTTTACTTTAATTTTAAAATTATAGCCATAAATTGTGCCTAGCAATGCTATATCAAGACCTGCATCTACTGCCAAGCACAGCCTCTCAGGCCCAGTTCTTGCTGCAGCAGACTGCTGCTTGTAAGGTACCCTTAGACTTAGAATCATAGAATCATTAAAGGTTGGAAGAGACCTCCAAGATCATCGAGTCCAACCATCAACCCAACAACACCATGCCCACTAAACCATGTCCCTAAGCGCCTCATCTACCCGTCTTTTAAATACTTCCAGGGATGGTGACTCAACCACTTCCCTGGGCAGCCTGTTCCAATGTTTAACTACTCTTTCAGTAAAGAAATTTTTCCTTACATCCAATCTAAACCTCCCCTGGCGCAACTTGAGGCCATTTCCTCTCGTCCTTTCGCCAGTTACTTGGGAGAAGAGACCGACACCCACCTTGCTACAACCTCCTTTTAGGTAGTTGTAGAGAGCAATGAGGTCTCCCCTCAGCCTCCTTTTCTCCAGGCTAAACAACCCCAGCTCCCTCAGCCGCTCCTCATAAGGCTTGTTCTCCAGACCCCTCACCAGCCTCGTTGCCCTTCTCTGGACACGTTCCAACATCTCAACATCCTTCTTGTAGTGAGGGGCCCAAAACTGAACACAGTATTCGAGGTGCGGCCTCACCAGTGTCAAGTACAGGGGCACGATCCCTTCCCTGCTCCTGCTGGCCACACTATTTCTGATACAGGCCAGGATGCCATTGGCCTTCTTGGCCGCCTGGGCACACTGCCGGCTCATGTTCAGCCGGCTGTCGACCAACACCCCCAGGTCCTTTTCCGCCAGGCAGCTTTCCAGCCACTCTTCCCCAAGCCTGTAGCGCTGCATGGGGTTGTTGTGGCCGAAGTGCAGGACCCGGCACTTGGCCTTGTTGAATCTCATACAGCTGGCCTGGGCCCATCGATCCAGCCTGTCCAGGTCCCTCTGCAGAGCCTTCCTACCCTCGAGCAGATCAACACTCCCGCCCAACTTAGTGTCGTCTGCAACCTTACTGAGGGTGCACTCGATCCCCTCGTCCAGATCATTGATAAAGATATTGAACAGAACTGGCCCCAATACTGAGCCCTGGGGAACACCGCTCGTGACCGGCTGCCAACTTTATGGCTTTAAAAGCACATATGAGCAGCTGATAAAATTCTTTAAAAGAAATTATAACTATCATCATCAGTGTGAATTGGGTTATCCTATTTTGTAAAACTTCAGAAATCTTAACTGTTTCATTGGAATTGTATAATTTCTTTTATCTTACTTAGTGCCTCTAATGAAGTTCCTAAAATGACTAATATCTTGAGTTTATTTACTGTGAGCAGGTAACACTTGCATTCTTTATTCGATTAAATATGTCCTAAGATATAAACTTTCTCTTTTCTTCCTTACAGCAGTACATAGGTCATTGGGAGAAATGTACTGTGAGGCATTAACTGTTAAGGCCTTATTGCATGCTGTTTAGCTTATTTATTGAGTAGCACTGTGCCTTTGAACTATACAAAGAAAAATACATTTAAATAAATGTACACAGCCCTCTCTATTTCCCGTGTTGATCATTAACAGATTAAGTTCAAGGAAAGTGCAGTTTTTATTAGATCCTGGAAGTTCACATAAGATTTCAGAATTCATTTGTGTAGTGTCTTTTTGAACTCTGTACTCCCCTTTAGAGAACATAAGCCCGATTCTGTTTTTTCTCATAAATGATGCAAAGCTTATGAATTTCTTCTGATTTACACTGTTGGAAATGAGGTAAGAGCCCTTTTATCTGTGGTTCTTACCAGACTGATAAGGGGACATTTCTAATGTGTGAAACATCTCTCTTCAATAAAGCTGGGTTCATCTGGCAAACATGATGCCTTTGACTTCCTTCCTTCCTTCCTTCCTTCCTTCCTTCCGCTAAGACCTAATCTTTACATGGCAAAAAATTACTCATATTTTCCTTTCAGAAACAGAATTACACAATATGGAATGGTGCGGAATTGCCCTCTGGTTTAAAAAAAAAAAAAAAAAGAATAAAAACAATCAGTGTGTAACACTGGGATGAATGTTCTACAGTGAAAAGATGCAGATAAAAAATCATCTGCCAGTTAATTAGCATGCAAAAATTATGATGCCATCTCTAATGTAACATATTTGAACCTTGTTTCACACCCATTTTTCTCTTGCCTAAGATATTTTTTAGTCAAGTTATGAAGATAAATTAAGTTTTTATGTAGGTGCCACATTAGTGATAAGAGAGTATGCTGTACTCCTTTGAAACATCCAACATGATGGACTTATTTAACCAGCAGTTTACTCTTTCTAGAGTTTTCTTGTTAACAGCTTTGCAGACTGAAACCCTATTTAAATGAATAAACGTTAAAAGAATAAAACTGTCAAAACGATGAATTTCTTTTGCACCAAACTAAAATGTACATTCACACAGCAAAACTCTCTTAAATGAATAACCATTAAAAGAATAACTGTGTCAAAGGAATAAATTTCCTCTGCACTACACCAAAGCAGAACATACACAAAGGGGGACATTTTGAAATGAGTAACTGTTAAGTGAAGAAAACTATTAAAAGAAAACACTTTTTGACAGGCACCGAGGATATATATTAGCAACCCTTTCAGCAGCATCACCTTTATATCAGTGTTATATCTGAATTTACTCACTCATAGCTTAAGTTTATTGCCATGCAATTAGTGACTTCCCAATCTTTAAGTTGTTAATTCTCGGCAGTGACACTCATGGAGATGCACTTGCACCAAATACGCAAGTATGATGACTAAACGTTGTTCCCGGACATAGGATCCATGTGCCTGGGGAACAAGGACATTCTTTAGTGTTTATCAAAGCGGAGAAATCCAGTATTGTTTCTTCTGAATAAATAGAATCATAGAATCATTAAGGTTGGAAAAGACCTCTAAGATCATCGAGTCCAGCCATCGACCCAACACCACCATGCCCACTAAACCATGTCCCTAAGCGCCACATCTACACGTCTTTTAAATACCTCCAGGGACGGTGACTCAACCACTTCCCTGGGCAGCCTGGTCCAATGTTCAACCACTCTTTCAGGAAAGACATTTTTCCTCATGTCCAATCTAAACCTCCCCTGGCGCAACTTGAAGCTGTTTCCTCTCGTCCTTTCACTTGTTACTTGGCAGAAGAGACTGACACCCACCTCGCTACAACCTCCTTTCAGGTAGTTGTAGAGAGCAATGAGGTCTCCCCTCAGCCTCCTCGTCTCCAGGCTAAACAACCCCAGCTCCCTCAGCCATTCCTCATAAGACTTGTGCTCCAGACCCCTCACCAGCTTCGTTGCCCTTCTCTGCACACACTCCAGCACCTGAATGTCCTTTGTAGTGAGGGGCCCAAAACTGAACACAGTATTCGAGGTGCAGCCTCACCAGTGCCGAGTACAGGGGCACGATCACTTCCCTGCTCCTGCTGGACACACTATTTCTGATACAGGCCAGGATGCCATTGGCCTTCTTGGACGCCTGGGCACACTGTCGGCTCATGTTCAGCCGGCTGTCGACCAACACCCCCAGGTCCTTTTCCGCCAGGCAGCTTTCCAGCCACTCTTCCCCAAG